TTGGGGGGGGGGGGGGCAGCTTTTTTCGGTGCGCTCCTCAGCTGGCGGTCCGCAGGGCCGCCCGGGCCAACCCTACCCCTCCCCATGCTCAACGCGATGGCTAAAAAGAGTGGTCTCGAACTACCTTCGCGGATAAAAAGTTATTCGACACCACGAGACAAACTGGTTGAGGCAGCGGAAGCAAAGCGTTCGTGGCCCCATAGCCAACTCGTATTTCTAACTGAAGACGACCGCGGCAGCGGCGGCGACGACGACAACGATCGATATACACCATAGGTACGTGGTCTGTTGGCTTGCGCCGCGGCCACAGTGGCAGGCGGCGCGTTCGTGCTTTAGCCTGTTCTTTGTATCATTCGCGAGGTCCCGCCAGCGCAGCTTATCGAGCTCCGTCTTCTCGAGCTCCGCTCTTAGGGCTTGCATGGACTCATGCTGAGAGGTACGTTCTTGAGCCGCCGCGTACTGCTGAGAACGGCGAAGAAGGGCAAACGGCCAGACCGCGGTTCCGACCCCTCCCCCTCCCCCTTTCCGCGTAACTTGCGCCCCTTTTGAAAACTTTTATTTTATTTCGTTAAACCCTTTTTGACCCCCCGCATTCTTCTTTGCCGCGTCGAGCTCGGCCTGCATGGACACGCGTTCTTCCGCCGCATTCTTCTTTGCCGCGTCAAGCTCGGCCTGCATGGACACGCGTTCTTCCGCCGCGTCCTTTTTTGTAGCATCGAGTTCGGTCTGCATGGACAGACACCGATCGTCCCGTGTTTTGCAAGCGTACGACGACAGGTGCGAGTACGACGACAGGAAATAGGAGGTTGCAAGCATAAAGAGGGTAAGCGTCGCGCGGAAAAGGTTTGAGGTGGTGCCGATGTCGAGAAGCATCGAGGCGAGCAGCCAGAAGGTAGCCAAGAAGGCAGCCACAGAAGAGCCAAACATGAGAGTGGTGTGCGCACCAACATGGACGTACGGCTTACAAATTCCTTAGCCTTGCGCTTGGTGGAAGAATTTTAAAACACACTCTTTGAGCGCTCCCTAGGGTTGTCTGTTTTCTTTCTTTTACACTGGGCGCGGGACTGGCGCGCACTGGCACTAACACAGGTACACCTGGGAAGAATGCAGCACCATGTGGCGACGAACGAAGAAAATTATCCTCTTTTCCGCGCCCCACCGCAAGGCGCGCGATACAAAAAAAAGAAATTTACAACAAAGCTCGGGGGAAGAATTTTTCTTTGGCTCCCTCGCACGACACTGGGGAGGTTTTCTTCAAGTCTCGCTCCGCGAGGCGGAGAACTCCTCCCTGCCTTCGGGCACCTTCCCAATGTCGCGCAGCGAACCAACCTCGCCGAAGCGCTCCCGCACCGACGAGACGGCCGGCGTCGCCTATCCGACGGGCACCTTCCAGGCGCGCGCGCCCGCAGTGCACGCGTGCCGCGCACACGACAAAAAGCGCCTCTGCACAGACCAAATACACAGCTCCACCAGAGCCCACCTACACCCCGACGCCCGCCAATGCCCTCACCGAACAGACCCCGAGATGACGACCGACACGCGGTAGAGGAAAACAGCCGCGGCGAGACAAAAGAGAGAAGCCCTGCTCTCTCTCTCTCTCGCTCGCTTGCTGCACGGCACACGCACCACGCACCCACGCGCCCGCGACGCTCCGCGAGCCCGATTCGAACCCAGGTCCAGCCACCCAAAACCGAGCCCCGAACCGCCGCGCCACGCGGCTCTCCTACAAGCCTCACTCCTGGCAACTCATATACTTTCCACCCTGCTTGTGTCAGGACATGAATCTCGACGTCCCCGACACGCCCTTCAAGGAGAAGATGCTGGTGATGAAGACCGGCAACGGCATCAAAGCCGAGCACGTCGCCACGATCGTCTCCGCGATGTTCATCGAGGCGGGCCACGACGAGTTCGAGCACAAGCTCACGCTACAGCATGGCAGGAACTCCACTTTCTACCTTCTCGGCGACCTCCCGGACGGATTTACGTTTGAGTCCATGGCCTCCTCCATCGCCACCATCGGGGCCACGACGACGATCAACTCCTACTTCGTCGAGAAGTTCCTGGGAGGCGGACAGCCAAATCATTTGCCCCTCGGTTTCTTTTCTTCTCTCCTCACCCCCCTCTCTCCCCCCCCCCTCCCCCCCCCCCTCCCCGCAGGGGACCCCAACGACATCCCGGACGGCGGCACGATCGTCTTCTCGGTCGCCGACGTCGACGACGCCGTGGACGACTCGGTCTCCGTCAAGATCGACCGAAACAAGCCCGACCCCTACGACCTCCACCTTCGCCTGTCCGCACCACCCCAGCCAGGCGCCCTTCTCGGGTCCATCGACGAGGGCGAGGTCCACAACGCGCTCGTGAGCGAGTTCAAGGTGCCGCGCGGCTGCTCGCTCGGGATCGCCAACCTGCGCAAGAACGTGATCAAGGCGTTCGGAGGCGAGGCCCTGCAGCTTTCCTCCCAGACGTACTACTGCGAGATCCACGTCGTCCGCGGCGGCGTCAAACAGGAACGCCCATACCCTTCACCTACTAAGACCCCACAAACAGCCGAATCACACCATACCCACAAGTGGCCGAACCCATCCCCTACTCACAAAGTACCAAATCCTCGCGCAGGACCCCATCGCCATCGCAAAGCCCTCCAAGATGATCACGACGGGCTGCGGCGCCAAGCTCATGGTCGAGATCCTCCCGCAGATCCGGGGAGCGTACGCCCCCGCCGTCCGGTGGGCCATGGACCAGTCGAAATCCTCGGAGGAGGGGACACTGATGTACCTCGAACGCGTTACCGCCCCAGGCCAAGGCGAGACCTACCGGTCCATGAGCGAGTCCCTGAATAAGGGGCTGTACGTCCTCTGCGAGCACTACGGCATCGCGATGGCCTACCGCAACGGTTTCTTTTTCTGCGCTACCCCCCCCCCCCCTCTACCTTCTCAACTCACCACACTCCCAACACCCACCGCCGCATGCAGCTCCAGAAGAACGCCTTTGTGGACGCCTTCAACACCAACCCCAAGGGCATCCCGCAGATCAAGCTGAACCACCTCGGGACGATCTTCGTCGACAAGAACGGGTACGACTGGAAGGTCGGCTTCACCGACAAGAACATGACCATTTTTTGCGACAAGTGCCTCAAGCTGACCCCGCGGACCTCGTACTGCAAGCCCGTCAAGGACCGCATCATCCACCTCCAGCAGGCAGCTCCAACCAAAAAAGAAAAACACCCTCCCCCAAATAAAGAAAAACACTCCGACCCCTCCCCCCCTGCGTGCACAGATGGGACTCGTCGGCAGCGAGACGCTTCTCATGTGCACCTGCATCGGCGTGTACCGCGGCAAGAAGAACATGGCGTCGAGGGACGAGGTGAATGGCAAGAGGGACGAGATCCTCCGCCGCAAGCGAGCCCGCCAGGGGGCCCCCTCCTCCTCCGACGCCGACATGCAGAACACAGCCTGACAACTAGTTACGGTGCTGAATAAGCACCAACTCCCACCCCGAGATCCAGATCTCACACTAGTACCCATCCAGAGAGGCACCCCCCTCGGCAACCCCCTCGGCATGAGAGGAGAGGCAGAGAGAGGACTCGTGATCGACGGGTTTGCTGAGATTCTAGAAGACGGGAGATCTCCGCTGGAGGTGGCGAGAGACTACACCCCCCCCCTCCGTATCCACGACGGGACAGCGCGAGTCACGGGAGAACAGCGCAAAGAGATGCTGGGAAGAGTCCTCTCCTTGATGTTGCGAGGCAGACGCGTGGGGCTGGTGTGCGCATGCGCCCCCTTAGCATGCCACGGGGACGTGATCGCTGCCAAACTAGTGCGCATGTACTGCGACATCGCTAGCCCGTAAAATGGTTAACAAAAAACACCCCTAAAACTCAAACGAAAGATGGCGTAGTGTGTGTAGCACCGCTGCCAATGTTGCCGGGGCGTCACACTGGCAGCTAGAAGGAACTCACCAGTCCGATAAGGATCAACTGGAAAGCTGAACCCTGGGCTTAGACAGAACGGGCGTGGCAGGCTCCAGGGGAGACCACGCTCTACCCGGGGCGCTAAGGAGGGAAATCGAAGCTGTTGGGCGCCCAGCGAGAAAAACTCGCGAGGACACACCGACAATCCCCCCTCCCCGAAGACCAAACCTAGGCACGTAGAGCACGGGTCATCTCGGAGAGAGAAAGGGGGGGGAAGAGGGGGGGGATAAGGGAGCCAGAGACGCGGGAGTACCCTGGGAGTGAGAGCTCTCATTCATGGTCGCGAGACCAGGGGAAGCCAGAACGGGGAACGGGCACACCAAGGCACTAACTTCATCACTCATTCGCCCCGCATTAGGTAGCGACCCCAGGTTCAGAGCTAGGCGGCCCGACAGGGCAGGGAACCCCCAGCGCGCAGGCGGGGCCCACGGTAGCCTCGTGCAGTACGCGATACCGAGAGCTGGGGGGTGAGGCGCGCCCACGCCAAGGGGGAGAGAATGGAGGGGGGAGAATATGCGTGCTCGTTTTTCTTCGAAAGCAATTTTTTTTTCGCACGACACTGGGCACAAGAAAGTCCGGTCATCCCGCCACCCACATAGAGCACACAGCACTCACAGGTGGATACTGACGTACTGTAACAGCCAACCAACAGATTCTCTGGCGATCCTAGAAACCGACACGAGCTCTCTAGTACCTTCGTGCACGAACCTGCTTCATACCAACCATTCCGGGTCGTGCGGCGTGCTTAAAGAGTACCTTCTCGCACCCAGCGTGGCAGAATTGCACATGGGCCTGGTGCTGTGTGTGTGCCTAGACGCGCACGGCAGACTCGTCGACCTCGTCTGCGGTCGGCGCCGGCGCTTCGGCGCTCCCTCCCTCGCTTGGGGCTGCGTCGCCCGCTTTGGGCTGGCGCCGACCATCGGCCGGTGCCGGTGCCGGTGCGATCTCCTGCTTGGCGAGGTCGGCGGCCTCCAACGCGGCGAGCAGCTTTTGCTGCTGCGCCGAGAGGGCCTAGACAGCGAAGGCGCGAAGCAGTTCAAGAAAGCGGCGAGGTGCGTTTGCTGCTGCTGCGCCGAGAGGGGCCTCTAGCTTGATCTCCATGGCCGTCATCTCCGGGGCCTCGCTGCTGCCGCCACGGGTGATGCCGACCAGCTCATTATCTGTGCCTTGCGCCGACGCCTGGATGCGATCACACGCGCCGAGTCATCTCGGGTAATCTCGGCTCAACCTCGGCTCATCTCGGGCGCGATCTCGGGTCATCTCGCCTGGACGCGAGCCCACGCGCCGTGGACCAGCCGTGCGCAGAGAGCGGCAGAAGCGGAGACGGAGAGCAGTCCCGCCTGCAGGGCAATCTCGGGTCATCTCGCGGGCGATCTCGGTGATCTCGAGAGACGGAGAGCAGAGCCCCCGCCCCGAGCGGCAGCAGCATCGCGGCGATGAAGTCCCTGCCGTCGCCGCACGCAGAGGAGGCGACGACGAGGACGGTGCAAGCGGCGAGCGAGCCTGAGGAGCCCATTACCCTCTCAGTCCGACCTCGGGCGGGCCAGGACCCAAGCGCAGGCGGCATGCGCGCCCAACGCCCCGATCGCTAGTAGCCCCGCGGCGAAGCACCTGCTCACAGATGAGAGGCGTGTGTGAAGAGACGCCGTGCCCCCTCACAGGGCGAGCAAGCCCGCGGGGCGGGGCGGCGCGTCTTGAGGATGTAGTCCGCGGTGACGACGGGCGGCGGTGCAGAGTGGTGGTCCTTCCGGCCCGCGAGCAGCCGCGGGTCCGTCGCGCGGGACAGCGCGGCGCCTGTAGCAGGAGAGGCACGGGAGCCGTCACACAGACGCGAAGGGCTGGCCGCGCCGGCCGCGAGAAGGGCCGGCGCCCGCGGCGGAGAGGGCGGGGAAGAGGAAGAGGAGCGCGGCGGACACGAACCAGCTGACCTTGTCGCACAGCCAGAAGCCGCCGGCGAGCTTCGCGAGCGCGAGACCGCCAAGGACCACCATGCCGAAGGAGAAGAGGATGCTCAGCGCGGCCGACAGGTGGACGAGCAGCCGGTTGCACGCCTGAGGGGGAGCAGGACAGGACACGCCTCTCCTCACGCCGGGCAAGGGCAAGGCTGTCCCTCGCCTCTGCGTCCCAAGCCGGAGCCCCACAGCACTGAGTGCAAGGCCCGGTGCGCGTAAGGGGGGAGGGCGGTGTGGCAAAAGCCTTGGCTTAAACAGTGGGGCGAGCTCACGACTATCTTGCAACTCGGCGGCCGCTATCTCGGCTGCATCTCGGCTGCATCTCGGAGCAAACCTTGCGCGACTTGTACTCGGCGGCCGCTTCGACGGCGGTGGCGGCGCGCGGCGAGGCGGCGAGCGAGAGCACCGCGGCGGCGGTCGCCGCCGCGGCGCTCAGGACGAGGCCGAACCAAAAGTTGGGCAGGAGGGGCCCGCACGCGTCCTACGGCGAGGCGGCGAGGGGTACGGTGAGGCGAGCGCCTCGACACGCACACACGCTGGCGGGGGGCGCACGGCCAAGGTGCGGCCCGCGCACGTCCAAACCCACAGCTGTACAGGCAGGCAGGAGCTGGCACGGCAGCAGTCAGAGTGCAGGGCGCGCCTCTGCGGCAGGCAGGAAGTCCATCGGCGCCCAAGCGCGGTGCGCTGGTCCCCAATGGCCCCCGGCGCGTGAATGGTCCGCCACCTACGGGAGACATGCCAAGGGACGTGTCGCGGACATGTCCAGGGGAAGTCTCCCGGGCGCGGTGGTCCCTCACCCAGACGCATGCTTTGCTCGCGGAAGCCGCGATGACGCACGCGCCCGCCAGGTGCAGCCCCGCCGCGAGCGCCGCGAGCGGGCGGCCTACGGGGAAGTTCCGCGGACGAGAAGAGTCCAAGAAGGTCCCCTGAAGGTTCGGCGGGGAGAGGCGGGCTCGGCCGAGCGCTGCGGCGACGCGGCGGAGCGAGCCGGCGTGCCGATCGGCGGGAGAAGCACGGGAAGCCCCGTGGATGAGGACCTAGCTCGCAGTAGCGACTCCATCCGGATCCTCGGCGATGGCGCGAGAGGCAGGCGAGATGGCGCCGAGATGCAGCCGAAGTGCAGCCGAGGTGCAGCCGAGGTGCAGCCGAGATATGGCGCCGAGATGCAGCCGAGATCCTCCGTGGGCGAGAGCGACTATCGCTTCCTTGGGCGTGGATAGCGATAGGCGCTATCAGTGAGATGGACGACGGGCGAGGGCAAGGGGCTCTCAGGCTCGCGGTACCAGGATCGAGGCGACGAGTGAGACGGCGCTGGCGGAGAGGAGCAGGGCGGGAAGCGCGTCGAGCGAGGGCACCTCCGTCCACGGGAAGGCGGGCCCGTGCTTCTTGTACTCGGGACCCCGAGGCGCTGGAGGCGCCGGAGGCGCCGGAGGCGCTGGAGGAGCGGCGGGAGGCGCCGGAGGGGCGGGGATATTGTACCCCCAAGGCGGGGCTGGAGGGAAGCCCACGGTGGCATCGCTTCCCGCCACCCACCAAGGGGGTGGCGAGGGTGGCGGGGAGGGCCTCACAGTCGGCGGCGAAAGCCAAGCCGGACCGTAGCCTGGCGTTGGAACGGGCGGTTGTGCTGGGCCGTACCTCTGCCACCATGGCTTCCCAGGGTGAGCCCGCGGGGGTGGTGGCGGCGAGACCTAATCAATTTGTGATGAACTCATCAATGAGTACCAACAGGCGGCGGCACTGGGTGGAGCCGGCGGCGACACCTTCGTGACCGTGACCATGTAGACGTCGTAGCTGCCGCAGTTGTTGAGGTTCCTAGGTAAGGTGAGATAACGTGAGCTTCTCCACACACAGAAGGCGGTGGGGCAAGGGCCAGGCTATCCCTCGCGACTAGACAGGAGCCCCACGGTATTAAAAGTGCAAGGCCCAGTGTGTCCGTGTGCGTGTGTGTGTGTGTGTGTGTGTGTGT